CTTAAGCGTGCACAGTCTCACATGTCCCCAAGTTCACACGAGCCCTTAAGCGTGCACAGTCTCACATGTCCCCAAGTTCACACGAGCCCTTAAGCGTGCACAGTCTCACATGTCCCCAAGTTCACACAGGCCCTTAAGCGTGCACAGTCTCACATGTCCCCAAGGCAGCCTTGCACTCTCTTGTCTGACTTGGATGGACACATGTGATTATTTACTAGACGTCACAGATGAGTTGTGCATTAAAACAACTCAGTCTCATTAAGCTTATCAAGGGTTCCTTGCATTTCAGAGAAGCGCAGGAGCCCATGTGTGAAACGATTAACTTAAAAACAGATGTTACATGCCATGGCTCTCTGAAGAACTATTCATAATGGAGTTAATTTATAAAATTTTCAGTAATAATTAGTTAAGTGATGTAGCAGCTATTTGACTGATGTGCATACTTTTATAACTCACTACACAGTATTTCATATCTAGACTGTCTAGTTTTAGTAGATGTTTGTATCACCATTCAGTATTTTCCCACATATTTCCTTATTCATCATAGTTACAGAGAATGACCACCCGCATGACATCACCCTTTCTTTTGCACATCGATGGAACTTGAACTCCTGTCACGGGCATCTTAGCCAATCACGATTACAGTGACTGAACCAGAGATGCCATTTCTCCCAGCACAGCCCTCACAGGCATTCAGCCTGTCTTCCAGTGCCTCTTTCAGCACAGCAAAAGTCAACATGAGTTTGCCTGAGCAGCCGGGAGTGAGCCGCAGATAAATCAAGGTCACTGTGGCTGTTCTGTGTTTTACATTTTGATGGTTCTGAAACTTCATTTGGGTTACGAAGAAAATCTTAGATACTTAAAGCTAGATGTCTCTCTCAATTAGCAATGCATAATTTTGAAAGCGGTTATGACGGAAAGTGTCGCTGCGGCACTATTAAACAGATCATATTTACATGTGACTTATGCTAGTGATTATATGGCCTCTTGAATTTCTCTAACTGCTGCCTCCTCTTTCACTAAGGGAATTTCATACTTTGCTCCATTTCACAGTCCAGGGCTTTGCTGTCCTTAGTGGGAAGACAGATAGCATTGAGGTTAAATGTCTTGGCAAGACAGTCATTAGCAAGCTGAGAGCGAAAACCTATGAAGGCAACTCTTACAGCTCCGACGGGGAGTAATGCGCTTTTTCTTAGGAAAACAAGTTACTCTACTTTAATATCATAACTGTTATTTTAACAGTAGTTCCTAAGTAAAGCTTATTTAAACTTATTTTCATTATAATACGCTTTATGCTTAAATGCCAAATGTGATAAATACCAGAAAACTTGGAGAGATTCGCAAGGCCCTGTTCCATTGCAGGTAACAGCCATCACTGCAGGCAGAGCAGTGTGGGGTTTCCACACTGGGAGCACATACCTCAGGGGGAGCAGTGAGGGGTTTCCACACTGAGACCACATACCTCAGGGGGAGCAGTGTGGGGTTTCCACACTGGGAGCACATACCTCAGGGGGAGCAGTGAGGGGTTTCCACACTGAGACCACATACCTCAGGCGGAGCAGTGTGGGGTTTCCACACTGGGAGCACATACCTCAGACGGAGCAGTGTGGGGTTTCCNCGGAGCAGTGTGGGGTTTCCACACTGGGAGCACATACCTCAGACGGAGCAGTGTGGGGTTTCCACACTGAGAGCACATGTTGGCGGCAGGTTTTATCACTCCTCTGTGCTATTTATTCATTCATTGTAAATGTCTCCAAGGAAAATAAACTAATTGATAGATGCTCTTCAGTCCTTAATCCTTATTTAAATGCATTCTTAAGCATGAAAGCATTTATTTCCTTGTAATGTGCTGCATACTTTAATTTATCCTTTGAAGTTGTTTCAGCTTTGAAATATTATATATCTCATGAAACACTGAAAATATGCTGTTTGTTGTTTGTCCGTTCTTGCTGCGAGACTCTGAACATTAAACTAAATCATTATTGCTGTTGTTTATATTATTATACTTATTATTATTATTATTATTATTATTATTTTTAATGCAAGCTTGGTAAATTCAGGCTGCGGAATTTGATGACTTTATTCCTCTGTCTATGATGGAAACACCCTGAGAATTTAATTAAGTTACTCCTTAATTATCGCCTTTTCCCATTGACTGTTTTAAAAGCAGTAGATTTTCTTAAATCCTACTTACTGTAATTAAGGCTTAAATAAAGATAAAGAAAAAAAATAAAGGATCAAAGGTTGCATTCATTAGTCAAAGGAGAATTATTCATTTAATTCAATTTCCTTTACAGTGAAATAATTACAATTTCCATGGCAAAATAAGGAATCTTACAGTATTTAAATGTGTTGGCTGATACCAGAAGGACCACCCCAAAATTTGCAGGGTTTGACCTTGTCTTACTTGTAAACTTGATGCCATCTAGTGGATTTACGACTATGGATGGGCATAACTATTTTATGATTGAATATGTAGGGTGGTTTAGAACAACTGCAATAAATATTAGAACCATATAAAGTGGGATGTTCATCTTAGCTGAGCTGAAGTGTCGCCGGCTGAGAGAAAAGGGCCGGAGAAACGACGGAGAGAGAAAGTATAGCGCGTTATTGTTGCCATGCTATCCGTTCCCGTTTGTTGACGGGGGTAACTGCAAACTAGGCAAATATGTATGGTCACACTGCAGTGCTTGGTGAATCGTGTCATGGGAGTGTCACAGTAGTGAAGGATCAGAGGAGCGTGAGCTCACGGTGACCGTCACCCACCGGCGCACGTGGCGATGTCCCCCTAACAAACCCAAAGTTAACTCGTCAGTAACGTGGAGTTCCTTACGTCACTCTCAGCTTCAACGGGTGAACTAATGAACTAATTGGACTACAAGTATGCAATTAAGGGGAAAAAATATGTGCAAAATTGTTGGTGTTTGCATTCAACATGACCGCAAACTTAACACAAATTGCATAACAGCTGCGACAAACAAAACTAACAAGAATCAGCGTCGGGCTTGACGAATGCATTGATTCAGTTATCAGTCTTAATCACATTTCATGCAGGATTAAAAAGAAACGTTAGCTTCTTAGTTATTAAAACACTTTCTTCGTTATGGCCTAAGCTTTGACAAGAATGACAAACAACAGGAAAAAATGTACATTAGAAGGAAAAGCAGCAGTCCTGCTTTACATATTTACTTCGTCTAATTTATAAGCCACGTAAAGCGGCATCCGAAGCTCCTCTAGCTAAGTAAAAAGGCACCTAAAGATTTTATAATGAACATGTGCCAGCAGGTGGCCCGAAAGGGGCGGCGAGCGCCCGCCTCGTGCCCAGCGCAGTCGGCTGAGAGCGTCGGCTTCGGACGCGGACGTGCGTTTGATGGCATGGAGGACAGCCATCGCACTTCCTGCTTAATGTGGGCGAGGACACAGCTGTTCAGCGTCTAGTAGCGCAGCATCGCATCATAGCCGAGAGAATCGCCCCGCTGTATCGCGGCTGCACGGGCGGCTCTGGAGGGCACGTTTCGCGCGGCTGTTTGGTGCGGAGGAGCCGGGACTCGCCGGGAATCTTGCGCGTGTTTTGCTCCGGAGCGGAGAATCAAGCTGATGTATCGCTGTAAGTACGTCTCTACTTCCCAGCGCCGGATACAGTCGCGTTTAACAACCCCATATACACTGCCTGTTTTCTTCAGTCTTTCTTTTTTTCTTTCTTTTTTTTCGTTTTTGCTTGTTGCGAAAAAGATATGTGGACATTGTAAGTAACCTGCTGCATTATTATATACTATGTTGAATACGGGCATAAGTGATCTCTGACTCTTTATATAGTGACAGCACAGTCAGTTATTAACGCATCACAATTGAAAGCAGCCTTTAGAAGACGCGCTATAAATGCAATTAACACGTCTGAACGTCTTTAAAGGCAGGGATTATTGGACAAAGGACATTTATTGTTAGTACCGTTATTAGTGTTAGTCGTAGTAGCCTAGTTCTCAATGATGTAGTATTTTGTTCATGTCAGTATGTAGGCTATTTATTTTACGCTTGTAAAGAGTTGTGCTTTTTTTATATCACGTATAACTAATCGGAATGGAAAATGCAATGTGCATCTGTGTGCCAAATCCTGCCGATAATGTTTTTGATGTATATAATAGTTATATGTGCATAGTTGCCGTACTTGTTCGCTGTTGATTGCAAGTTTATTTGACGTGGTTTTCAGATGGCAAACAGCACATGTGCTCGTAAGTGTTGTGAGCAAATCCGCGACAATAGGCAAGGAAGTCAAATGGATTTCGGTAAATTATTTTTGATGGACTGAAACGCTATGTGAATGCTTGTACTCTGCACACAAAATCTCTGATGTGGCACAGTGTATATGCTGTGCTGGGCTGAAGGTAATTAAATGCTGTAGTCACATTTTGATCAGAGCAATTACCTGGGCTCTCTGAAGACTTTTTTCCTTTTGGATTTATCTTTCCGGCTCTCTGTCAGGGTGACTCTGCGTAGACATAGATCTGTGCAGATGTTTAATAATCCTGCACTTTTACAGTGCCCATCACATTATCGTGCTGAATTTGTTAATAGGAGGATACAGCGGGCAGTAACCGATCCCATATTCGTCGGATGTTTTTAATACACAGATTATAGGATCGCTAAATACCAACGTCTATATTTTAAAACAACTGATGTTTCAAATAAATTTACGGTTACGTTTTGGTCACATTTTCTCTTTTTTTGTTGTTGTTTAAAATGAACGTGTTTTTTTTTTTTTTGGCCCCATCATTACAATAAGTATTTATCAATTTAGTCAAATTTGGGTTTCCATCAGTAAAGCCAGACGAGGCCTGAGGGCCGGGGTGTAATCCGAACATCTGTCATTCTGTCTGATATTCCCCAGCATCAGTACAGCCGTCCCTGTCTGCGGTTATCTAATCTGGGTGGTCGGGGAGCAGTTACGGCTCCGTTTCTGACGCACCGAATTTAATCCCAGCCGCTGTTGCACACTATAACTATCCACTCACATTAATTTATTATTTCCATCTTTCAGTAGCCATTGCATCTATTAATTTCTGAAAGTGCTTATAAAATGATTTAAGGCAATACATCGCCGTTTGGGATGCCGTTAATGTCTATTACTCAGCACCACTCTCAGTAATACGTCTAGGGTTAGTGTGGCGATAATCCTGATGCTCCGATGGAAAAATGGGTTTTGAGTGCTGAGATACTCATGCATAAAATTTTGTGTTACATATGATATACATTTTTTCAAATATGTAACGTAAAAGTTACTGAAGGTTGACACCCGTGTTACTTAAAATCTTATCTCAAATGCTTCACATATGAGTGTGTTGTTCTGTCAGTATACTTTCTAGCAGTCGATATGTATTCATGCGTATAAATAAAGTGCCCAATTCATGTTTCTTTTCCTTTTACAATATGGATTTATGATGGGATTTATTTTGATCCAGCAGCTGAGAAACATCCTTAAAGTGGAATTTTAATAGTCACATCTGTCAGTGCCGCTTGCTGTTGGTACTTGGATGTCATGTTTCAATCTGGTGTCATATCATGGCATGAAGAGTCGAACAGACAGTTTTATAGGCTAGTTGTGGAGCAGCAACGACTGAGAGGGAAGGCCTTCAGCAGCACAGCACACCCCAAGAGTCTGTCAAAGCCAGAGAATTCAAAACTGACATTACAAGGAATCATGGGTAGTTACAGTCTGAAGTCCGCCATTATTTTGGCTTTCTCCTTGTGTCATGCATTATTTTAATCTCATTCTAGGAATTGTATCAGGAGTTCTACAAGTCAAATGTTAGACTATTTGCAGGTGCATAAGTATGGAAGGAACCATTTTTGCTTCTTTGGAGCACTGATATTGAGAATTAACTTAAAAAAATGTAAATGGATAGCAGGTCGTCCTGGTGATTCGAGTATGTGTTTTCGTTGTTGATGCTTGACTCGTGAATGATTGCAGGTTCAAATGCACCTTGTTTTGGGGACTTCAGAGGAAACTGCTTTATTTAAACAGATGGCTGTTTAGGTGGCTAAAAATCTCTTGTAAGAAGCCTCCGTTGATTGTAGACGATTGTAAGTAAATAAATAGGTTAAGCTGAATGCTGCTTACAGCTGCAAGTGGGATTGCATTTGCAAGCTCAACCACTAGGTATTTAGGGTGAGCTCTTGTTTTATTGATATTTGTTTAAGAGAGTGTGCACAACAGCAAAATGCTACCTGCTGTAGTCTAATCAGCAAAACCTTTAAAATCCTGTATGTCTATCCATCCATCCATCCATCCATCCATTTATTTTCTATATCCATTTCTTGTTCTATGCAGGTTTGTGGGGGTTCAGAGCAGAAGTGCAAGGCAGGGAATAACCCAGTTTGGGGCACTAACTCACTGTAGGACAAACACCATTCAAATCCTACACATTTGTGTAGAGAGTAAATTGGATTGGATTATTACCTTAACTGTTCCCTTTAAACTAAGAGGACTCAGTAACTTCTAAGCTGAATGCAGAGAGAATGGATGAGCCGGTTATAAAAAAAAAAAAAAAAAAGGTCTGCATTTGTCAGTCTGTTAGCACGACTCTACGAATGTAGCTCATCAGACAATCAAAACTTGTACCCAGGGTTTAATGAGATTGTATCAAATGAAGGCAGCCACTTACATTACAAGGCTCTCATGCGGCATGTCACACAGCAAGGGTCATGTTGCAGCTGCTTTGGCCAAGATGGGACAATTAGCAGCAGTTGCTGTGGATGGAGCAGGTCCAGCCTGCTAATTGCTCGAAGGTGGGAAATGCATTCTTTGCTATGTTTGAGTATTTTTTCAGCATATGTACCATGTGGAATGTATTGGGTATCGTGTACGTTTACCCTGGAACATCCTGAATAAATTACACCGCATTACTTTTCATTACGTTTTTTCATTTAGTCGACACTTTTATTCAAAGTGACGTACAAATGAAGATCAGAGAGCAGGGACAAGCCAGCGTCCCGCCAGCGGCTGGTGTCACGAATCCTGCTCAAGGGCTCAATAGTGGTATGATTACTCGGTTGACCTTGGGATTTGAACCCACAACCATGGCATGGGCACAGATCCATAGCCTGCTGTGTTGCATCGCCCACTAGTTTCCAAGAAACCCAGTTGATAGTTTTTTTTTTTTCTATTTCCAAGTCGTTGCAGCACACTTTGGTTAATTTGGTATCACGTCAGCAGTGTGAAATCAGCTGTGTCTTATACCCACTGAAAGTTAGTACTCGTGTTGTGTACAGTAAGTTGGTCCCCATTCTGGAAATGATGTTAAATTGACAGTCGCAGCCGACTGTTTTTCTGATGGGTATTGGGAAAAGTGATATTTGTCTGTGTTGCTGCATGAAGTATCATTGGTTTTTGATGAAGCACAATTTGCTTAGCATCCACATTTTAAAGAAGTATATTTTTATGAATGAATGAATAAATAAATATTTAAAAATGTCAGAGGTCCACATTTCTAAATCGATAAAAGCATCGCCCAGCTGAAATATTTGGTATGGGGACTAAATAGGTAATTATCTATAAAGACACAGAGGAAGTAACATTCTGTATACTGAACAATGGCAGTAACATTCTACAAGCGCACCTTCTGATTTGGAATCTCTGAGGGCATACAAGATAGGATCAATTTTTATCTTGGTAATGACATAAGTAGTGAATGCGTTATACAGTATGTTATGTGTTTCATATATGACGTGTATATATATAAAGTATTAATAATAATTTATATATGGCCGATCCCCAACCCTTCCCTGTGTACATCATTAATCAGCCATGGTGTCTCTATTCAATTGAGAACCGAATGGTTGTTTTTGCAGTGAAGAATGCAAGCTTAGTAAACAGTGATTTCTTTTGGCATATGGACACTGTTATCTTTTCAGTGTCCTGGAAGCGGCTTGATCAAGGTGTTAGGGTCTTGGTCTGGCTTGGTGTTACTTCATCCTCCTAAGCGTGGTCCCCAGGTGTGCTAACTTGCTAGAAACGTGTAGCAGGAATGTGTGTAGAGACGAGGACCCTGGGAAGCGGAATGCAGGCCCACGTTTACCCCATGCAAGGTTACCTTTATAGAGCTGTGAAGGCTTTGAAGAGCTCTTCCCTGAGCCTATCACTGCTGCCCAGGCTGCAAACACTACAGAGTATGGAGCTGCAAATAAAGACAAATGCCCAGTGTCAGTGGATTCAGTGCTGCTGGGATAGCATCCGCTTTCGGGCAGCACTCCGCTGGTTTGTAAAAGTAAACAGTGCAGTTTGATTTTTCAACACATTACCGAAGCTGTGGAGACTCATGAGTTCCAGAGTGTTTTGGTACAGTATGTAAGTCTTTAAGGCATTAACCACTAAAGTCACACACTTTTTTTTCTTATCCCGTGGATGGATGAGAACACATTCGAGAAAGTACATTTTTTTCCAAATTGGTTCCCGACATGGTGTATTATATTCTAGCTATTTTGCAAGCATGAAAGGGCTGACAACTGTAGATAGCATTGCAGTGTTTTTTATATGGCAGAAATTTTGTTTAAAGGGATTTTAAATGGCCAGGAAATGATCACTCAAGCATCATTCTAACCGGAACAAATGTG